CTAAATCTAAAATCTTGACACTTGACAACAAATTAAAAATAGGCAATATTATAGTCGTTGCGGAAATAGATCTACTGTAAAATGATATACTGTATAATGTGTTTTGTTGTGTTACGTGTGTACGCCTGTGTGTACCCATCATACTAGGTATACTATATAGATCAAATAATAATGATACATTTATATTAACATCAGCATAATAAATATAGTGGTATTCATAAATTAAAGTATAGTTATTTTAAAAACATTTAAACGACAATGACACTAAATTAAGTATCAAAATACATTTTGATAGATTTCGAGATTTAATAGTTGTATCAAATATATTATTTTAAAATGATAATTATTAAATATTAATATATTATGCATATTTTATTATCTATACATAACAATAACGATAACTAAGAAATAACTTAGTTTTGCATTAATTTAATCGTAGTTGAACGAATGCAATCTTATTGTTTAAAAAACTAGTATAACTGACCGTTTAGCCAAGATAATATTTATATTTATACAGATCTTAAAAAAATATCATGATTATATAAAAATATAAAATATATAATATGTATCGTGTATTATTATTCATTAGGGTTAAGCCATATTGTTTAAAATAAAATTAATTAGACATAGAACGCTTTAAATATTTTTTGTATCTTCTTAGAGAATTTTTTTTATGAGTATTTTATAAAGTCTTTACACTGTATTGGAAAAATAGAATCTTAGTATCTAAAGGTATAGAGTATTGTATTAGGTAAGGACCAAAATAATTAAGATGACTTCCAAAATCTGCACAGTTGGGCTTAGCTGGTTATTGGTTATTATGTATTATGAAAAATACATTTTAAAAATTCCTTACGTTGTTCTTACGAGTTACGACCCTTCCATACAAACTATAAAGTTTATAGTCAGACCACCCTCTCATACTTAATATTTTAGGGTTATAACATGTACTGTAAGTATTAAATTTAGTATACGTTTATAAATGTAGTTATATTTCTTTGTACTCCTCGTTGTAAGGAATTTAACACAATACATAAATGTTTTCAGTCAAATGATTTTTGATTGTCCCATTGCTCATAACCCATGTTACTTCAATTTTATTTAAACGGCAGGTGCAATTATAGATTTACTTATAAGATAGAACATGGGACTCACTACATTGTTGGGTATTCTTATATACTTTGTTCGAAAATATTCGATGTGTATACAAAAAACTAACTTATAAATAGGTATACATAATATATGAACAAGTTGTCAAGTAGGCATTGGTTAAAATGATATACCTACTCATAAAAATTAATTTGTTCAAATAATAATAATAAAAAAAATGAACATTATTAGTTATAAAACATAAATATATATAATCACGATTAGGAAGGGGAATATAGACTACAGTTTATAGCACAAACATATATACTGTTAGTATTTAGTAACTAATCGTTCATGTGTGTCGATAAAAAATGATTAGGTATAATAATTATTTCTTTTAAGAAAGAAAAAAAATCGACGATAAAAAAATAAATGCTGAAAGCGAAATAACGTATTTTGTCACCTAAATCAACAAATCGGTTTTTAGTCAATTTTTTAATTCCTATGCAGTTATTAAATGAAATGTTAATTGTAGCCAATCAATATCATTGCGGTGTTGAGTTATGAATTAGTCGGTCGGACGCATTCAACATCCTGTGCACATTTGATAAACATAATTTTCGGTACAATATATGAAGTAAGAACTAAAATTATTAAACTAAAACTAAATTTCACCAGATCTCGTGGTCTCTCAAACTTTGAGAATTCAAATTTATATAAGTAGGTAGGTACCTAAGTTACAATAATAATATAATATAGTGTATGTATTTCTAATTTATATTTTATTATAACGCAAGTCAATATGCATTTTGCTCAAAACAGTTAAAACCGTTGTCGATTAGTCATTATTATATGCAGTAAAATATATAATACTACAAACATTAAAACATATATAACATGTATAAATGTATTAAAGTTCAATGTAAGTAAGTGGAGGTATCTACCAATGATGTCACATGTAGGGGTTGTATGAAAACTGATGCAAATAAGCAAAACAAAATGGTTTTGGTTGTACGCAATTATATTATTCTACTATACTAAATAGTAAATACTAATGATTACTTTACTTCAAATTTTAATAGTTTCATATTATGCATATATTAGATATATAATATAATATACCAACTAAAAGATAATTTCTTTAGATAAGCAACTGATATGTGCTTATAAATTATCCATTATTTGTCTATATTACATATATTAATGCACACGAGTACCTACTCTTTAAAATCAATGTGTTAAAATGCCGATTGTAATAATATGTTATATTATCATAGTATTCTTGTCATAAACTAATTCAGTATATTTGAACTTATGAAGGTCAACGTTTGCTCAGAATACTGTTGAGTATTTCACTAGGTACCTATTTCGTTATACTTACCTAATCATTTTGTTTTATTTGTTACTATTTTGAACGAAACAATTATACTAATATTAATAATGGTATAATAGATCTGAATTCAACATGCATATATCATATAGGCAAAGTGTAATTTTTTGTTCATTTATTTTATCTCGTTTAAAATACAACGTCATTTATCAAGCTGAGATTGTATATACTTAATATCATTGAAAATGTACAAAATAATTCAACGAAACAATAACAATAGTCAATGATACTACAGTTGATATTTTAGATGCTTCTGAGAAAATAAATAGTAAGGTATAATATAAGTATGCTATAAAAACGTATGTACAAACATAACTTTTTCTAAAGTCAAAATTAAATAAAACCAAAAATACATTAGTATCGTTTATAATACATTTTACTTCATTTTACTATCATACTTAAACACACAAATCAATATTTATTCTCTATTTACACGTCTTAAATTTGTGGATTTTCGAATTTTACTTACATTTTAAATTATTTGTAAGCAGTTACTTGAACCTGTTGTTGTACGATCAGAGCTAGAGAGCTATTATGGCATGCGTGCTGTTTGGTTTCGGAAAACCATTTTTGTGGTAGTATTATAAACATTGAATATTGGCCGTTGATATACTATAAGGTACCCATCGTACATCATCAAATTTAATACAGCAGTTTATACTCGAGATATTTATTATCCATTATACTAGTTGGTTTAAAAATATTACTATACCAATAGGTATTGTAATATTATAAATGGTACCTACATTTTTCCCATTGGTTTGAAAAACGCATTTCAATATGCCTGAAAAGTGTGATAACAAAACCTTGACCTGTTATAGGTAAGCAAGCCGGACTCCACTCGAAATCTTTTTATGAATACGATTTATCATACTTTCATGCAAATTCAAAATAATAATATATGGGTTGCACCAAGTCTCCGTGTCTTATCCGTCAGTGCCTATTTTTGTTTAAGTTAAAGTATCAACTATCAACGTTGAATAAAACACTTGAAAAATTAAAACTGTAATATCAACTGAAAACATTTTAAAATTAAACTAAAAAAAGTATGTTCATTTTTTAAATTAATTAGTATTAGTTCATGAATGATTTTGGAGTATGTTATGCGTATCTTAAACAAGTCAAGACTAAAATATAATAAGAGGATTATTACAGTATATGAAATCTGTACTTAATAATTGTATTCGTCTGTATAGGTCAAATGTCAAAGCGCTATCGTCGTTAGAGATTGATAAATTCTTTAATTAACAAATGTTTCAGCTATAAAATATATTATTAATTATTTAATATTGATGTATTTGTATATTATTGTATATACTGGTGTAGTAGTGAGTGGTTATGAAGTTAGCTTTTTATCAAATATATACGCGCGATGTGTGTATCTCAACATCTGGCTGTGAACTTATACCACAATGTACCATATAGGTATTTATTGAAATTATTTAAAACAAATACGCCCTGATAGCAAAATAAATGTGTTATACTAATAATTCCTACTAAGATATTTAAACGTGCTAAAGCCATTCAGGCATTTCAGGTCGGATATCTATTATATTGTCTGTTTGACTTTTTTTTTTTACTAAACAAAAACCTTGTCCGTTCATGATTAATTGTCAAGTGGTACGATTAGACTTCTTGAAACAAATTTGAATTCTTCTCAGAGTTAAATCGGTTAATAGATGGATTGATACCCACTTATACAATTAAAGTTTTTTGTGGGGAATTCTGTACAATATCGAAAAATATTGGAGAAGTCAGTGTTGTGTATACATAATATCTAATACGGTGGTTAATTCAAATCAATGTGTTCATTCGTCGATCTATGTAATTTATAGCTTAAATAAGTTTTATATTTATACGCACACAATTTTGATGATAAAATATTACATCCACTCGTCCGCGTATTATGACTGGCGTGTACAGGAGTCATGCAAACATTGTCATTTAGTAATTGTCACTCACGCACTAAATAAATAACAATTAACAATTGACTACCTACACTCAAATTCACCCATTGATAATATTGAACCCCTCAACTCTTAAGAATCGTCTCTATGTACCTAACCAATTAATACAAGTTGTCGTGTTTTATTCATTAATATAAAGTTTACTGTATATTTAACACTTAATTTTTTTAAATTTACCACTAGTTTTGCAGAAAACTGCGAAAAAATTCAGAAAATATGGTACCACACATCAATCTTTTCTAATAAAAAGCATTTTCCATGGACGATTTTCTAATAGCCCACAGTCATCTTGTCGTTGTATGAAGTGTACTAGTGTATTATATTTAGTGCCCTTATAGCTATTATTAGTATTGCTGTTCAGCTAGCATTACGACTGTAAAATTATATATTTAATATAATGTGTATCAACTATGCAAATTCGCCTACTTAGAATGTCCGAGTCTAATTATTTTTGACAGATTTAAGAATACGTTATTGTTAATAACTCTTAGATATGATACGAATGTATTATTTTCACGAATAACTACATCTTGAGTTTAAATAATAATTTTTAGATTCCGAGCAGAGCGATCGTGTTTGTTGGTTCTACGATGATTTGGACTTTTTTTATAGGGTTTCTCGGAACCATATTTTGTAGCAGTAATAAGGCTCAACGTTTCATTATGCAGTACCGTCTCTATATTGAATATTAGATTGGAAATTGAATTAGGTATACTTTGGAAAGGTAATTTTAAAAACTTTCCAGTACCTAGCTTACTAGATAACGGTAGACAATTTGCTATAAATAGTAATAAATATAAAGGGAAAATGTTGAAGCATGTACTGATTTTTAACAAAATCTTTAAAAAGAATCGGCCTTTAAAATACAACTATCAATTATACAATTTGTTTTAAATAATATTATTTCTTCACCAGTAACCTACAGTATCCACACAACTCGGTACTTTTTTTTCTATTTTTCCTTTAATTTTGATATTCTTCTACCTAAACAATAAACATAATAGTACATAATTATTATAATAAAGTAATATTGTTTCAGCGGCTTTAAAATGTCAGTCAAAAAAGTGCTCCGCATTTTTAATCCTCATGCAGTCCACACGGTCATTCTACTAACATTATGTTACTTCTTAGTGCAACTAGTTTTGAGTCATGTGTCCCATTCACTCACTTTGCTCGTCGACTCGTACCACGTGCTTTGCAAGCTAATATACTTTTTTGGATCTGTACTGTGTATTAAGGTGATTATTTAATGTATATAAATTATACTTACGAATTTATTATATAAAATACGAGCGGTTTTCACTGTTCATGACTTATATTTTATAATATAAAATGGATTTATAGGTATAATATATAGCAATTAACAGATTAAATTGTGTGTTGTATTACAGCACGACGATTATGAAGAAGTGTGTTTAAACGAAGGTTGTGTGGAAAAAATCCTCAACGCGGAGGAAGATTCTCCTGAGTCCAACATGACAGTATCCAAGTCCGGTCAAATATCGTCTTCCAGTGTGAATATTGCCCATTATTCATCGGGGATTCGTAATATTTTTATCTCCATTATTTTTTCAAACTCTACAGTGCGTACATCATCATCCCGAGAAGAAGTTAAAGAACACATTCGGATGGGCGAGGATCGAAGTGGTTTTAATGCTCGGTGGTTGCGTGTTTTTGGCGTCCCTTAGTTTCTCCCTGGTGGTTGAAGCCATTCAAACTCTCATACACATCGACCATCAAGATCCAATGCATCATCCGATATCAGTATTCATTATCGGTCTTGTTGGTATACTCATTCACGGACTGTGCTGTTTATTACTAGGAGGTTAATAATAAGTTATTAATAATTATAGAATCTAAGCCACACGTAGGTACTTGGTATTAATATATTATGTATTATCTATACTATTGACGCAACTATTTTTAGTTATAGCTGCTTAGCTTCCTTAAAATATATTTTAGCCCCCAAATTTTCTTTAAAATTGCAAGCTAAATGTATTTGTTGACTTGTTAAGTTACAGCCCCCCCCCCACACCAATATTTTATACCTAGTTGCGGCAATGGTTTCTACTTAAAACCTAAAAATGATACTGCAGGCCGCAGGGTGAAACTTATTAAATACTTATCTCGAGAAATATAATGAATTTTTAATCTTTTTATAACTTTTAAAAATTTACTTACTACTTACAGCTTATTTTAAATTTGTCTATTATTATTTATAATATAAGTATTAGTTTCTAGAAATTAAAAATATCTTATATTTTTCGGTGATTTAATGCCTGTTTAATAAAATAATCACCCTGTATAGTGTATATTTATGATATTTATGTTGTACTAATTGATTAACATTATTAATGCAGGCCCGGTTGTACAAAATACAAGAGTTCCTGACGAAGAAAGCGCCAATGCTCTTTTGAATCCTGGTCAATTGCTGAAGAAAAAAATACAAACGAAAAACTGCTCTCCAAGAGAAATATGTCGAGATTTAGTTGGTAGAATATTTTTGTAAAAAATAAAGAAAAACTGTAAATTTACAATAAAATATTTTTATAGGTTGTACAATGGTGATGATATGTTCAATCATCGTAATATTCACAGACCCTTGCATAGCAAAGTTTGTTGATCCCGGAATTTCAATCATATCTGCAGCAATATTGCTCTACCTCAAATATCCAAATAGTGAGTAATTTTGACAGTTTAATAAATGATTTTCCGGTCCCAATTATTCACATCATTTGTTCTAAAATATAAATAAAACGTAATGTTAAATTCTTACGTTTTAATATTTTAGTGAAAGAATCATGCCTGATTCTTCTCCAGACAATGCCCGACCATATGAATATTGACGCCATCTGCAAAAACCTGATGAAAACATTTCCAGACATAGTAAATGTACATGAACTGCATATATGGCAACTGACTGAAGATAAAATAATATCCACTGCACATATTATGTTTCTTAACCCTCAAGTAAGATGAAATTGAATGGTACTTTTTTAGTACCTATGTCCACATGTGTAGATTATTTCTTTTGGATTGAATTAATTACCTAATAATTGCAAATGTTTTTTGTTTCCAGGATTATTTGAGAATAAATAAAGCGGTTGTTAACTTCTTCCACGAAAATGGCATTTTAGAAGTAACTATTCAACCAGAGTTTTTTAAAGACGACCAGAATATACAAATGGTACCAGAGTATGGTATGGGACAGTGTTTGGTTCAGTGCAATAACATCGAATGCTTTGATAGAAATTGCTGTGAACCAGATGATATTGAATCAATTCAACACTGTTAAGCTTCAAAAACAACTTCATAGGTAAAACGAATCACGAATGGTTCACATTCCGATATACAGCGATACATTAATAGAATAATATTTATTCTGTTTCTTCTAGAGTTGAAACAATTGTCTTGCTCACCAACATTAATCATTATTTGATTAACCTTTACCAATATTCAAAAGTAAATATTTCAAATTTGATTACCTTATAGGTACCTATACCATACGCAAATGGGTTATATTGACCTTATTATTATTATATTTTTTTTTCAAATGGAAAATACGTTCCTATGTGTACTCATAATTGTGTGACTGTGAATGTATTTATACTGAATCGTTATTAATTATTGTTTAACTAGTACAAAAACGTATTTGTTTTTATTTTAATTTTATTTTTGTAATATAAAATGTTATTGAAAATGACAAATACAAATTATATGTTTCACTGATTGTAACATAATATTATTATTATATAAATATTATTATTTTAATTATATTATTATAATACATTGCACATTTTTTAAGCTTTATTTAAGAATACATTTCCCCGAAAAAATAACCTATGGTAATAATTATATTATTTGGATTTGGCATAATATGTAGTGTACAATTATGAACACTTTATGGAGTTCAGTAATTTTAATAAAATGTGGGAATCTGTAAAATCTATGAGAAGCAGCACAATGATGTCCACACTTATCAACAACAACAATTACTCCACTAAAGTCAGGATAATATTTGTGAATCATATTCGTAAATATAATGGCTAATGTCTAATGGATCTTGTATTAGAATATGGCCATACTTGAATGTCAAATTACATTGGCTTATCTCCGTGAAAACTAGTAGCAAAAAGAAAATGTCATAATTAATTCATTTGATAAAGATTGCATTATTTATTTAATTCGTTTTTTTTGGTTTTATTTATAAATATTAGAATTACAATACTAAAAAAATGCATTGGTCTCCATCTATTGCTGGGCCTGTAATGGCAGTGGTTTGAATTTTCTGTATAGCTCAAGCACCAGATCCAGGAATGGTAAGTTACCAACTCTTCTGCAGTGTTATTAAGAGGATTTCACACTATTTATTTTCTTATTCCGACCCAGTACCCATGCTCAACATACCTAGTAACACGGAACTTATAAATAAAACACATTCGTTAACCTCTTGTGTTTGTTAATTTATAGGTGTTACCGGAGCTAAATGTGATACTTGATAATACGCTATATAGCTAGATATTTGATCAAGTACTAAATATTAGTTTGTTCTTTATGATATGAAGGGCGTGAATTAATGTAATTAACGTAATTATACAACACCAATAATTCATAATTGAATATTATAAATATGAATACTATAAGTTTAATCCCCATTTCAACCCTGAAACTCCCACAACTATTACATTTTGGCCCATTATAATTTATAACAGCTCAATAACATTGATTCTCTGATGCAGTAATATGTACACCAGAGGTGCATCTGAAGCTTATTTAAGGAGAAGTATAGTAATATTTATACATGAGTGACATATTATGTGAATGAATGACAAATCGTTTAATTCAAAAACCACACACATTATGATAAAAATACAGGTCAAAACAGAAAAATGTTTAAAGTTTATTGTTTTTATGTATAGGTAACCAAACACTTTACAATGGATTTATAATTTTTTAAATTGTAGTTTTTTTAGTGTAAAATACAATATTTAAACTTAATTTTACTGAGAGGAAGTGTCGTCTTGCCGAAAAGATTTTTAGTCCTACGCCACTTTATCACTCCCTCCACTGAACAAAAGTAATAGCAATTTGATAGAAAATGCACAAATGTGTGGTTAAGTGTACTAATTAAGATAAATCAACTTTCCCACATTTTTTCATTTCTATATTTTTAATAAAATTTATTTACGGTTCAGTAGGATAAAGTCATAATAAATCATGCAGACTTTATGAAAAATTCAAATCTATATGCCATGTGTCATCTCTCAGATCAATCGGTAAGTATTGAAAATAGAACACATCTAAGTTCCCATGTTAAATGTGTGATGTATGTGAAAAGCAGAACAACGCCACTTTCAATTCCCTTACGGCCAAGACACGTGTCACATACCCGACAGATAGACCTATTAATATATTAATTGGTCCATGCTAAAACACGCCACCGAGGTTATCACAGAATATTAACTCCTAACAAATTAGTGATTACTCATAGATGATTTTATATTTTTTAACATTGAATAATTTATAATTTAATAATATATTTTAAAGATTAGTTACCGTTCTATAACGGAGAAATGGTATTCCTAGAGATGTTAATAATTATTACTTAATGAATACCGGTGGTCGGTCAAACATGCCTAAATAACTTAAACTATTATAAAGTTTTAAACAAGTTACACCTTGTAAAGGCACCGTGGTTTTAAACAAACTATGAAAAATATTTATTAATTAAATCTGTGTTAAAATAAAAAGTCAAAAGAAGCTTTCGATCGTCCCCTTCACCCACCATAAACAAACCAATGATAGTACCTATTCACTGAAGACGATAAATCCTGACTACACCACTTCCCGCCGCTATCTTCGACTATTGTGATTGAGAAATAGATTGTATAATTCGAATTGTCGTATTATTATTTGTTATTCAACAGAGTCAACATTACAACTACCTACATAGTGATGAATTATGAGTTGAATATAAATAGTTCAAAAACGTTTCATTGAAATTAATACAGAACAGCCAAATAATATAACTGGACGACTTTACCTTTAAGACGATGAACATTTTAATTTAAACTACCTACTTTACAATTTACTACAGGTAGGATTTATTAGTTTTAAATAATATTCTATCGCTGGCAGTGCTGGTTTTTAAATGTTGAATATTTTTTAGACAGTGTCGACTGTTGATATTATTCTCTGTTTTAGGTACTTTTAAGTACCTACCTTTTACCTATACATAATACATGGTGAGTGATGATACTGGCAGAAGTCTGTTGGATGTGTACAGTGTAAAATGTAAAATAAAAAGCGTACAAATTACTTATGTAAACAGTCATCAAGTGGTGGCGTGGCCGTGTGGGGCCATTTTAGGGGCGTGTACTTATAAAATATTTTTGATCGTATTAGTTAATTGCTATTAGATGTCTTTTATTTTAATAGGTGTACAGGATGAAACAAGAAGACCTAACAAATAAAATAATTCACCCTAATCAATATTTTGAATTTCTTAATTTGTATATCATTTACAGTCACCTGCGCTAAACATACCAATAGTATAAAACATTTTTTTTAATACTGAAATTAAAAAACTGTTTATCAGATACAGTGATACAATTTTTTTTTTGAAAAATTCAACACAGCAAATTTATGAATCTAGTTTTCAGAAAACTTCAGAGAATTTTTAAATATTTTGATACTCGTTAAAAACTGATATTTTTTTAAAAGCTATTACTTTTTAAATTAATAAGTCTTACTGCCACACTTACTTCAAAAAAAAATTAACATTTTAAAGAATAAACTTAGATAGATAAAACCCAAATTTATAAATTCGCTATTTTGAAGTTTGAGGACAATATTTTGATTAGATTTTAATATTTTTATTTTCAGTATTAAAAAATAGAAATAATAAATGTTATACGTCTAGTGGACAGGCTCAATCGCGAGTCAATAATAATTATGTTTGAAAAAAAAAATTTAATATTTATTAGAATGAAAGTGAATTTAATTTGTTAGGACTTCCTGTAACACCCTATTCATATTATATAATTATACTGGCATACTGTCTAAAGTATTTTGTTAATTTTTTACCTATGTAAAACAATACAAATCCGTATAAGTATTATAGGTATCAACTATTATAAATTAACACTTTTTATTGTGTTAAATAACTAATTAATACTATATTGAATTTGGCATAATCTTTAGATGAACCAACAGCAATATTAAGTTTTTCCCGGAGCTACAGAAAATAACAAAATCTGATGTTGGTTTGCCTAATGTCCAAACACACCGTGCCAAGCCACGCGCTCGTCTATGCACGCAGCACGCCTAATTATACACGATCGGACGCGGCGTACTTCCAAATGCGTAGGAAGCCCGAAAAGCCGCGATCACCACTCACCACGTCGCGACACAACACATTCTCGAGGCCAACATTGTAATTTGTATTTCTCTTATTTTCGATAGCTTAGCCGCTTTGGTACTTACTTTCGGCTGTAACACAGTGACATTTATATTTCGTAAATATTATAGTACATTAGCATAATATCACTGCAGCAGGTAAGACGTATAGGAGGTGTCTAATTAAAAAATATACCAGTAAAATGTATCTGGGAGTCATTAACTGAAAAAATATAGAAGTAGATTGACACTTCAGTAGGTACAAACGTACTTTATCCATTATCTACCACCGAGTTAACAGGAGTTTAACACCAGTAGGTAAAAAATGTACACATCTTTTAGGTTTGCAGACGATTCATCGTAAATCACAATATTCAAACATACATGGTGATATGGTATTCAATGTACCTATAGAGGTACCTACTGTCGTTAAGAGGACGTCGTATCCATATTTGTTGTCACTGTCTTACTAACTCATATAGTATTAATGGGCATCCCCCATTAGATACACGGCGCAAACGTGCAAAATACGCATCATAGGACAAAACCACATATAAATTTTAAAGCACAGGGTATCCCATAACTACACAAAAATTTAATCGTGTATGGTGTATTCTAATTTTTTTCTTTTATTTCAAAAAAGCCATAACACTGAATTTGGGTACTCGAAGAAATTTTTCAAAGCTGTTTGACACTTTTTTATGCTTAAGAAATAATCTTTATCGGTGGCACATAACACAACTGCAAAACTCTTTCGATACCTAGCAGGCGGTAATTGGAAAAAAAAATCCCCAGACTACAATTTTTCTCACAAATACATACAAATTGTTGAACAAACATTTTTTTAAACGTTAATTATTAGTTTAATTACCATAATTATTAATATTTAAAATATAATTTATATATACATATACCTATAATATTTTGTTTTATACTGCGATATTATGTATATTTCTGTAAAATTAAATCTCTAGAATATTTTTTTTTACTTTTCCTATAATATTATAAGGGCAGCGATTCCCAACCCATGGGCCGCGGCCAACTTGTGGGCCTCGAGCAGCGTGATACTGGGCCGTGAACCATATAAATATATAATATTTACTATTATATATACATTTTAAATAATATTATTACATATTTTTAGTATATACCTAATAATATTTCTGGTTATAATAATATTTATCAATATTATCTACACTCTGTAGTGTCAAATTATTAATTAACGCTAAAAATAGGAATTAACCGAATATTGAAAGTGATTTAATTTTAAAACCATCCAATTTTCACCCCAATATTGACTCTCTCGTGAAGGACAAGTAATGTCAAAAATCACATTAAATTGTTTAACTTGTGATTAAGTTTGATAAAGTGTTTTTCATGATAAACAATTGATTTTTTAATTATTTTTATAATTCTAACATCTGACGTTTGTATATTATATATATATATATATTTATTTATGCATTTGTATATAGGTGAGTTGTTTGTGGGCCTCAATGATTTTTTTACAAAATTGGTGGTCCGCACAGGTAAAAAGGTTGGGAACTGCTTACAATATAAGGGACATATCTAAGAATTAAGAACTTCAAATGTTATCTATTGTCGTATACGGTGTAGTACCGCAGTGTGTGCCTCTGATAATCTATAATGTAAGGTAATTATTTGTATTATTTGACGTATATAGATCGTTGGAAATATTTGTACATTAGTGTACTATGTTTTTAACTATGAGTACCTAACTAAATGTATATTCAATATTGTATATAATCTAATATTATTTTATTATTATTTTGTTTGTATTATTTAATGTATTCGAAGTATTTTTATATCCTATATTTTTAACTGTGAGTACCTACATGGCTACATTCATTAACTGTTGTTTGTGTTGTTTAATAATTGTTTTTATTTTTATTTTACAATCTTTTAAGTACCAACCTAGATATCTAGAATCTATATAGAGTAAAACTTGAAAAAACACCTCCTAATAATATTATATTTACACTATCCTCGAAATATTATAGGAAACGTAATATTTTCAATTTTCAATCATTCGTTATACAAATTGAACAATCACTACATTTTATTTTTTAAGTATACCTATAAACTTTTTTTAGTTACTACTACTCTATGAGTACTTATATATTTGTAATTAAATATTAATAATTTTGGTAGTTACACTAATTAACGTTTAAAAAAATATTTGTTCAATAGTTTGAATGCGTTTGTGAGAAAAATAATTGTAGTCTTGGGATTTTTCTTCCGAAATTCTTGGTCGAAGGTTTTCTCCCCAAGGATTTTCATTTCGCAATTCTTAGCAGTGCAGGCGATCTGATTTTACTGAAGCCTAGTAATTTTTGGTACCTAGGATTCAGTCTCAGCTGTCCCACATTTTATTTTTTGGATTTTCGTTAATTGTTGGGCTACCTTCTAAAAACGGGACATTTATTTCCCTAGAGACAATGGGCCAAAGGTACGAAAACGGGATATATGGTCACCCTATATTCTATAATACATACATATACATCTACTATGTAGAAGCTATATTTAATTATTTTGATGTAACACACATTTTTGATTTTATTTAGTTTTAATTTAATTCTATGTTGGTAATATTTGTATTAGTATGTACTTTAATTTTCGTTAGTTTTAATAAATTGTAGAGGTTATATTTTTGTGTGAGAAATGGAAGTTTATATTTTTATAAATCTGTGTGGTATCATACTATTTGTATTTGTGCGGTATTAGGTTATGCATTTTGTGCGATAATAGAAAGCGATGATATTAATCTATCCACATATTCATCATAATGTACATCTAGCAGTTCAAATCTTGTCTTGTCAGATTAAATAAAATAATTAAGAGTGAATTGTGTAAGTTGGCATAATATCAAACTCAAATGTAAGAACATTATCAGCATTGTCTGTGTTCTCTCTTTAGTTTTTCACTATATTTTAGTTTTTACATGAGTTAGGTAGGCGTATATAAAAAAATAATATTTAAAAATGCTCATAATTCACCTAAAAATTAAAACATTTTTAAAAACTAACAAGAGAACACAGATATTCTTACATTTAAGTTTGATAATAGGTCAATTCACTTTAATATTTAAGCTAACAGTACAAAAAGTGGAATGTTGCTGAACATCCATTTTGGTTTATTGTGCGTATTGCCTTAGTAAGACAAAGTTTACATAAAATGCTGATACGACGTAGACCTATTAATTCATGATATTTTTTTAATTCTTTTAGATTCTGAGAGGAGCGAAGAATGTACATATTTATTTTAAAATCAGTTGTGATTTTTATGTATTAATTTTTTACCTTTAATCACTTTAAAAAAAAAAAATTCTCCAATTAACTTCGGTCTTCGAGGTAGGTTTCTGGTAGCAAATTAGGTCTATCGTAAAACTTTTTGAGGAGTTAACATTACAAATGCTCAGTACTTTTTAAAATAATCGAGATAACAAAAAAAAAAAATTAGTACACTTGTTAAAATGTTAATATTATTATTAAAACTGTTTGGTAAACTTGAAGCAACATTTTTAAAATGAAGAAAAAGGAGTTTTACTTCTATAGGGTCTGGTTATTTAGTCTGATCTCTGATCAATAAATAATTAATTAAACAAGTATGAGAGTATAGCTGAGATGCTGTATTTTGAAAGGACTCATCTGTCGTAGTGTCGTACACCTGGTCATCGCAAAAAGTAAAGACAACAGTTTTATTTGAAACCCAAAAAATGATGATTTTAACCAGTGCCGTAGCTAGGGGAAGGCTTTAGGGCTCGAGTCCTAAGAAATATCAAACTTTCTAAGCCCGGTAGTACCCTAGCCTAAGCAATAAAATATTGTAGCCCCTTCCTCTTCAAAAAAAAATCCTGGCTGATTTTAACTCTTCAAATGTTTTTCCTTTAAAAATATTCTCCAAAAACCAATCCATAACTTACTTGAGTAAATAATAGTAGCAAATAAAATATGTAGTTTTGTTCCAACATAAATTTAAAGACTTTTCGGCTACTTTTTTTTTATTTTTTAAGATTTTTTTTATAAAAGTAAATTAAAGCAATCATAAAATGTTTTTACTAAAATGGAAATTGTATTTGTGATTATCCAACCAGATGATCAGAATATAAAAATGATGCCAATTTGAAAAAAAAAAATTATTTATAAACAATGCCCGCCCCTAAAATTCCAAAAAAATTTGCTGCTTTGTACAATCGCGTGTGCCTTCCAGCGGGTCCTGGTGCAGGGACAGTGCAATAATATTGTGTATTTTGATAGAAATTTCTGTGAACCAGGTGTCATTGAGTTAGATCTATTTAATATTATTCAGCTTCAAACATAATATCATAGGACAAATAGTTTACATCCACAAGCAATGGGCACTAAATATACATAATACTTTTAAAGATGGAACAATTGCTATGCTTACCTACAATAATTATTATTTGATTAATATTCAAATAATTTATTCAACAAGTATAAAAAATAAATGTAAAATTCAATAACTTTATAGTTTATACCATATTATGTAATCGTGTTATCTTAAGATTATTGTTATTTATTTGTTTTTAATGGAAAATGCAGCGAAATATTTACTCATATGTCATAATTGTGTTTATTTATTTATACTGAATTGTTATCAATTATTGTTGAACAAGTACAAATAAGTATTAGTTTTTACCAGTGTAGGTCAGGCTCACTAAAGCAATCATTAAAGAAGCTTGGATATTTTTCAATATCAGGGGTCCATGAATTAGTGGAACAATTTATATTTAAATTTAAAACAATATACCTGCATATAAAGAATTTATATTTTTTAAATTAAAAATGGTATTAAAAGCAATACATTTTTTGTTTTTAAGTTTATATGGGGTGTTGGAGTCCACTTAAAATTAGTCGGCCAGGGGGCTCAATCATGTGCCAGAGCGACACTGGTCATTACTATAATTTTATTATTTTTATAGTAGGTTTAAAAATTGAAAAATCATAAAATATTATTGTAAATGACAAATACAAAAATAATATGTTACACTAAATGAAATGTACTATATTTCAAAATTTAAAAATTGAAAATACATAAGATAAATTTATAAAAGTAGCCTGTGTATAATAGGCTAAGTTCCATGATTTCGGTTTGGAACATATGGTATAAATTACGGACACTTTATTGTGTTTAGGACTAGCGATAGAGTATGGGAATCTGTCAAATCCATGACAAGCAGCACCATCATTCCCATACTTATCAACAGCTATAACTGCTCCACTAAAGTCTGGATAATAATTGACAATTGTATCTATGGCTAATCGAGCTGCTTTTGCTGGCATATAGCCAAGCTTCATTGCTTGAACTGCATGGAAACTAGTAGTAAAAAGAGAAAAATTTACAAATTAATTAACTAAAGAAGATTTTATTCATTATTTGGTTGGTATTTTGAGTTATTTGAAAATATTAGTATTACATACCTTGGTAAAAAACGCATTAGTATGTCTCCATCACCTGTTGCTGCAGCGGCACCAAAAGTGTTCATAGCGTAAGCACCAGATCCAGGAATGGGAGAATCACCAACTCTTCTACAGTATTATTAATATAAATTATAATTATAGATAATGATATGTAAATGTTGTTTTAAAAGAGAAGCTTTGTCACTTATAAGTAATTACTAAAAATAATCAAAATCAAACTTAATTATAATATGAAATATATGACAAAAATAAGTCAAAAGGAGGAATATGACATTCTCATCAACCCCATGAGCACACCACTGCCCATAATCTTGTTCACCTTGTTTACAAGACGATGCAAATAGATACCAATAGTAGTTTATAATACCACTTATGGGCGCCAGGGTTTAAAAAATGCAACAGGTGCTCATGTTTTAAGAACTACCTATCTAAAAAATGTATTATCTTGGATATATTCAGTGTCGGGCGCTTTTTGAGGCCTCTCGCTAAAGGTGAATATTTAAGAAAGTAAAATTATTCTATAAAATTAATGGTTTTTAATGAAAAATAAACTTGATGACAATAATTTGAAGAGCATATTATGATGAGAAAATTATTTTTCTATTTCAAAAGTATTGATAGTGTAAAATATTAATATTAATTTAAATGAAAAATCTTCATAATTGCAAACGAGTACCTATACTCTATTCCAAATAAGTCTGGAAAAAATGGCGCGTGCAGGTCCGCTGTGAATTGTGATTGGCTATAGTTTCGGTTACTCGTCGTGATTAGGCCGCTGGCAGATCACGTAACACACTTGCGCGAAACCGGACGTGTTTTCGTTGTACATTTTTCCAGACTTATTTGAAATAGAGTATAGCACTATTCAAAAAAATATTGTTTACAGTTATAAAAATTGAATGATAATATAGAAAAAAATTATGTTGATAGTTTTTGCAATGATATAATTTGCTTATTTTAATATTTTTAAGTGCTTATAATGAAGTATTTAAGAGCTGTTTTCAGCTCTTATTTTGATGGTTATATGTGCTATAAGTTCTAAGCCCTGGTGATGACAGTCAACAGAGTACAATTAAAATGAAAATGTTGAATAAGAAGCCACCAATTAGTGACCATATGTTATCTGTGTTAATGACACTTGGCTGAGAGTTGTTTAGTTATCTATAAACTCGTATATATTTATATGCATATTTTTTAATTTTCTAACAAGTCACGGCACAAGTTTTTTTACAGATAATACCTGGAGTTTCCAGGTAGTTTGTTAGTTTTAATTTTAAAATTATAGGTTTTCATAATAGAAATACCTATTATTATGATATAATATATTTTTGTTTATTGCTTACCCAGATATTTTGAATTTTGCACCATTTGTAGATGTACCAGCAGCAATATTACCTTCATGGTCAATTGCAATAATTCCAATAGTATCGTGATTTTTTGAATCCACAAGATTTGACTCAGGCTTTGAATGTTTTGGAAAATTTGGTTTGTAAGGCCCACAATACTTTGTTGGATCTGGGTTGACATTCTACATTTAACATATTTTTCAGTCCATTTAATGAGTCAATATTTTAATTGTAAGACTGTATCAAACAATAAACAACATACAGTCCAAAAGTTTGGCTGACAATTATTAGATTTCCATTGTTTCCACAAGTTCAACGAATCGATTGTGCTGAGATTAGTCTCTTTAAAGCCCATCTGTATAGCAAATTGAGTTGCTTCATCACCTACAAGAAGAGTATGTTTTGTGTTTTCCATCACAAGCCGTGCTACTTTAGATGCTGACTTGATACGTTTCATATGCCCAACAGCTCCCATATTCATTGTAGCTCTATGGATTTATTGTTTCAATCAAATTATTAAAATTTTAAGTAAATAGTAATAAATAATTAACAAACCCATCAATAATAAGAGCATCTAAAGAAGTTTCTCCGTTTTCATCAGGACTTCCACCATAACCAACAGTACCATCACATTGCTCTTGTTCGCAAATTGTACATCCAGCTACAACTGCATCAATTGCAGTGCCTGTCATATTTAACACCGACCAACCTAAATACATTTTTAAATAGAAACAGTTTACAATAGGTGCTGTATTAATTTTACTAGATTAAAGAAATGTTAACCTGATGAACCAGCTCTTTAAAAATATATATATATAAATGTTAATTGAAATGTAACAATTTGAAAGAATCAATAATTTATTGTATTTCTTCTAATAAGTGGGTGGAACTTATGACCAAGTATTGGATACTAATTTTAAAACAAATTTAAATTTGGAATAAACTTAATTAAATGTATATAATAAACTAATTATCCCCAAATTAAAAAATGAATTCAATAAGTTAGAAAAATTAAAATCAATTTCTTCTGTATTCAAATAAAATAGATCAATCAAGAAGTTTTAATTTACTTTTTGATAATGATAGATGTTAATGAATGCAATTAACAATGGTCATTTTGTCAGTAAGATATATTAGGTCATTGGATTCTAATATAAAACTACAAAAATACAAAATAAATAATTTAAAGGTTTTAAACTGGCTTTTTAAAACTCAATGCTTTGTAACAACAGGCATTGTACACAATAAACATCTCATATAAAACTGTAAGCAACAAGTGTTTTATTTTTGTAAATAGTATTTAAAAAATCATTACTTTTTGTTGTTGCATGAGTAAACGCCCACGTACTAATAACCATTGGAGTATTATAAGTTGAACAGCCATCTTTTATAGTATGACAATACAATTTGATCATTATTACGATCAATGAGACAGAAAAACTTAAACTAAATATTATTAGTTTTAAACGATAACAACAACTGTTAATTGACATTTTGGTATTGATTTATATATGTAATTTAAAATAGAAAACTTCGATACCTACAACATTATGTATGACATTCAATAAAACAAACCTCTATACACGTTTTTATGAATTTTAGAAACAAAATTAAATACTGAATGTGGCCTGTTGCCTGTGCCGTCAAAACAAACAAATGACTGATAAGTGAGTATAGACAGAGTAGTAGAAACTAATAACTATATAAAGTTACTAATGCAATGAATAAAGATTAATTATGAGGCTTAAACATGGTAATCTTTAAAAAATATTTAATAATAGAATCACCGAATCAGAAAAAAAAAACTAAACTAGACCGAAGTACCGAACTAGTGGATTTAGCCGCGCCTAAACGTATCACGCATGTTAAACTCAGGAACTAAGATACACCTATTTAATATTTATCTGAATTTATTCGCAGTAGAATACTAGAATTTCGAAACCATAAAATAGAAATAATAGCAGTAGCAGTTCAACAGTTATATGATGGGGATAGATTAGTGATGAGTGGTGACTGCACGTCTGCAGCCTCCGAGCCTGCGCGCCTGCCTTGGCCCCTGGGATCCGTCGCCCACTCGCCCGTCTGGTTTATACAATTATGCCAATAATCTTTATGAATTTCCAGTTGACAGCTGCGGACAGTGTTACATTGAGGAGTGAAATATTTATTTTTTTGTAAATGATCAACAGTCGAAATTCGAAATAGCTGAATCACAGAATTGCTGATATAAAATACTGAAACACCGAAACGGTCATCACCAGTGATGCCAGATTTTAAAATTGTAAGGACCGTAGTCTTATCAAAAAGTCCGTATTTATTGCTTAAAATCATGAACTGAGATATTAAATTTGTGAATATGTTTACTATAATACTATATATTACCACATTTTATTACTTATTAGGTATCACAGATGCATATAATTACAATCATGCTATTACGCTGTATTAGGATTCATGTTAATACAAATAATTTAACTAAAAAACGATTATTAACAATAAAAAATGAATATTCTTTTTTTGGTAGGTAAATACATTGTTTCATAGTATAACATATTCTAAAATATTATTTAAAAAAATCTTAACCGAGGATCTACATGGAACCAAAATTCACCAAAAGTTCTGACCTCTTGAATGCGTTTAAAAATTATTAATTATAATTTTCATCAGTCATTAAAGATAGAATAAAAATACAAAAAAAATATTGTATCTACTACCTATTACAAGTATAAAAATAAGACCACGATTTTTGTATACCTATCGCATAAATCTTCGTATAATAATTTATATTTATTATTTACCGGCATTGTTGTCTCCGTCTTACAACAACCAAAATGGCGAGTTCTGCGTTCACAATAATACATTTTATACAGTAAATTCTCTGGGCATCTCGATTTTTTTATTAATATTTTTATTAAGAAGCAAGTTATAACCTTTTTGAAACTGTACATTTTAAAATAATCATAACTTACTTAAAAATAATAATATTAATAAAATCCTCCTATGGATGTTCTAGATTGCTAGATAATAATACCGCCTTAAAATTTGTTATGGGTCAGTCCACTCTAGTTTTAAAAATAACAGAGTAAAATGGATTATTGTTGACGTAAAATGTGCTAGGTATGTAGTTACATTTGTAAGACGCCAAGACGGATGGGTACCTATATCTTAGTCGGTGATTCCCGCCTACAGGCTTTAACTGAGGTTAACATACACATACTAGTTACTATAACCATAGATTATAAGAAAAAAATTAAAAACATTTCAAAAGTAACAAAAGGCAGCACCAACAATAATCCGTGATACTGCTTTAAATCGTGCACATCAGTTGTAATATCGAAATATTTAAACATATGTTTTTTGTTTATCAGAGAAAAAAAATCACAGATTTATTAAGTGATAAAATCATCCACTATTGAGTTACTTATCACCCACAGATATATAAAAATACTAGATAGCCGACTTCGATATTATTATTGTCGCCAGTAAAATGGCCGCCATCCTTATCTAAGAGGTGAATGTTTATGTTTTATATTATTGATGATAAGCAATTGAAGAACAGTGTTAAACATACAATATACTGTTGTACTTATAATTATAATATCATATTGTTTAAACTTAATAAACTTTAAAAACAATTATTATTTTATACAGATTTTGGGTGGAGTTAAGTTTTTATATATGGTTTATGCAAGAAAAATTGTCATCAATTATCTTGCTTGTGTTCTTGAAGATTGGTACATCTTTAAAGATACATGTGTGAGTCAAAAAATAATTTATTGTAATAAAAATACCAGTATACCGGGGGATATTATTTCTAATAAAGTATAACAATTAAAAAAAAAAATTACCAAGTGCTTTATTTAATCAGTAAATTAATAATATAAAGTAAATTATTTAATCTTAATAAAATTAAAATACATTTTAAATTTAGATTTTTCAACATAAGTACATTCCTTGGGTTTATTAAAATGAAATTATAATGCATAACTAAAGAAATAATAGGTATTTTAAACTACATCTCGTAGGTATAGGTACAATAATATTATTGATTCATAAATAAAATTTGTTTCGTCAATTTATGACGGTTACTTATTGGGTTTAAAATATCTGTAGAATACATTTTACCAAATGAATGTAATCTTATGCTTAGATATTTTTGTATAAGTAATGCAATTAAAACCAATTTATGGGGTCTATCTAATGTAAAAACATTATTACATTCTAAATATTTAAATATATTTTTGTCCAATGCAAATTTTTTATTAACAAGGGAAGTTATTTTTAAGTCAAGGTTTGGTATATTTAGTGTTTGTAAATTATTAGTTAAACTTAAAAGAAATATTTCAGTTTGATACACAACTTTAAATGAACTTTCTGAGGGAGATATTAGACCACCATTATTTTTAAAATCTATAAATTTAGAATAATCTGCTGAATGATTATAGTTATGGTCACTTGTAGGTTTTATAAGTGATTGTTTACAACTGTTACAATCTAACATGAAAATAATTTTTTTAATTGCATAGCCAGTAATATAATATATAATATTTTTTTTGCAGTCCTCATAACTAGAATTTGTATTATTCAATAAATCACATGTATTTAAAATCTCCATTTTATCATCTTCGTTATCATCATCAGCTACTGCTAAAGGTAGTACATTATTTTTATTTTTATTCCATTTAAATGGGAAAATTGTGGATATTATATCTTCATCAAAAGTATTGCAGTTGTTGTTAGTAGAACATGTAATAGCATTTTTTAATAATATCTGTTTTATTGCAGTTTTAAATTGGATCACATTGGGATTATTATTTGCTCCATATCTTTGACGTATACGTCCAAATAACAATTCAATATGATCTTGTGAAAAATAATATGTAAGGATGTACTTAAAGTTTAAATTATCTGTAAACAGTTTTGCAGCTATTTCAAACATTGATTTTACACCCATTGCAAACCCTAAAATAAATGTTTTTTTGTTTGTAGTGAAAAGCAGTTTGTTTTTATACTTAAGACTGTATAAATAGTTAATAAAAGGAATCATTTTAGATTTTAAAAATTTTAGATTTGATTTAAAAATAGGGCTTTTATAACCTTTTGAAAATGGATTCCTGGAATTTAAAAAATCAAATAACTGATCTAATGTTTGACAAAAAACAATAGTTTCATCACTATCCTTAAACTGTTTATAATTGTTATCTTTTAAGTATTGAATTGCTTTAGCTGTTGATGAGCTTAGAAGTTGGACTGCCAATTTTACTTTCATTTTGTTACTTTTCCAATTCAAATGTACACCAGTTATTTTATTTGCAAATTTTAAAGATAAATTTGATTGAATCTCGTGTAAATATTCAAAATAACACCATTTAATATGACCAGTATTAGATTCTATAACTAAACAATTTCCTAACGTATTCCGTGCCAACTTAATCATATGGCATGCATCTGGTATAAAAAAAATTTGTGATCCATCGATAGGATGACTAAACCAAGATTTGATATTATCAAATCCTTCACCAAATTCACATCCCAAAATTTTCAATGTCGAAAAATTTGTAAATGCCCCATCACAGGTGATACCTCTTACATTTAGTCCTGATTGGTGAGACAGTGTAAGTGCTGTTTTAATTAATTCTGCTTGTCGCACAGCATTAGTTTTATTTTGTAAGAAATATCCGATTGGTAGTTTCCACTTACCATTTAAACTTACGAGCATAAAAACTAATGCCTCAGTGGCTGCTGTTTCACTACTTTCAACTGTAAGATTATCACCATAATCACAGTATCCTGTAAATTTATGTGCTTGTTTGTCCCAGATGACTTGCTTTTTTATGCACATTGCATCGAAAACAAGATTACATTCTTTATTTTCTATTTCTAGAGTTTTTAAAAAAAGAAAAACTTCAGAGAAAAAACCGGGTTCCCCTTTTACAGATGAAGTCCAAGATCTTATTGCTGTAGGATGAGGAAGTTTAAATATTGTGCTAGAAAAAAAAATTGTGTTCAAAATAATATATTATTTAATAAAGAGAATTTCTGAAATGCATACTAACCGACAGTACTTGTAAGCTTTTGGAGAGTAATAATTCAAAGTAAGTGCAAATTTTTTAAGCTCATCGCTGTATCTTCGACCTTTAGCATTTTTATTTTTGTTTTTCAACTGATTATTGAAGATTTCCCTAGATATGCCATCAAAGTCTTCTAATATGACATTAAAACCATTTTCTTCAATTAAACCTTTCTCTTTTATGTCTTGTAAAAGTTCTTTTAAGTTATTAATTTTTTTTTTAAGTCTAAGTACTCTTTTTTGTAATGTTTTAAGCTTTGTTTTGTTTTTTTTGGTTTTTGGAGTGACAATTGAGTTTTGGGGTCTACCTCTTTTTGGTGTTCTACATGATGGTCTTTTAGGTGTAATTTGAAGTTCTGGAAATAATACTGTTGTTTTTTTTCTAGGTGTAGTTATAATATCACTGACCAATACAGATCTCTGAAGTGTGACTGGAAGTTCTTCATCTAACTTAGACATACTCAAATCAAGAGGAACTTCTACTTCAACTTCATAATTTTCTATTATACTCTGGCAATGAACTTCTTCAGTTGTTGAATTAAATACTGATGGTATTGCNTTGTTTAAACTTAATAAACTTTAAAAACAATTATTATTTTATACAGATTTTGGGTGGAGTTAAGTTTTTATATATGGTTTATGCAAGAAAAATTGTCATCAATTATCTTGCTTGTGTTCTTGAAGATTGGTACATCTTTAAAGATACATGTGTGAGTCAAAAAATAATTTATTGTAATAAAAATACCAGTATACCGGGGGATATTATTTCTAATAAAGTATAACAATTAAAAAAAAAAATTACCAAGTGCTTTATTTAATCAGTAAATTAATAATATAAAGTAAATTATTTAATCTTAATAAAATTAAAATACATTTTAAATTTAGATTTTTCAACATAAGTACATTCCTTGGGTTTATTAAAATGAAATTATAATGCATAACTAAAGAAATAATAGGTATTTTAAACTACATCTCGTAGGTATAGGTACAATAATATTATTGATTCATAAATAAAATTTGTTTCGTCAATTTATGACGGTTACTTATTGGGTTTAAAATATCTGTAGAATACATTTTACCAAATGAATGTAATCTTATGCTTAGATATTTTTGTATAAGTAATGCAATTAAAACCAATTTATGGGGTCTATCTAATGTAAAAACATTATTACATTCTAAATATTTAAATATATTTTTGTCCAATGCAAATTTTTTATTAACAAGGGAAGTTATTTTTAAGTCAAGGTTTGGTATATTTAGTGTTTGTAAATTATTAGTTAAACTTAAAAGAAATATTTCAGTTTGATACACAACTTTAAATGAACTTTCTGAGGGAGATATTAGACCACCATTATTTTTAAAATCTATAAATTTAGAATAATCTGCTGAATGATTATAGTTATGGTCACTTGTAGGTTTTATAAGTGATTGTTTACAACTGTTACAATCTAACATGAAAATAATTTTTTTAATTGCATAGCCAGTAATATAATATATAATATTTTTTTTGCAGTCCTCATAACTAGAATTTGTATTATTCAATAAATCACATGTATTTAAAATCTCCATTTTATCATCTTCGTTATCATCATCAGCTACTGCTAAAGGTAGTACATTATTTTTATTTTTATTCCATTTAAATGGGAAAATTGTGGATATTATATCTTCATCAAAAGTATTGCAGTTGTTGTTAGTAGAACATGTAATAGCATTTTTTAATAATATCTGTTTTATTGCAGTTTTAAATTGGATCACATTGGGATTATTATTTGCTCCATATCTTTGACGTATACGTCCAAATAACAATTCAATATGATCTTGTGAAAAATAATATGTAAGGATGTACTTAAAGTTTAAATTATCTGTAAACAGTTTTGCAGCTATTTCAAACATTGATTTTACACCCATTGCAAACCCTAAAATAAATGTTTTTTTGTTTGTAGTGAAAAGCAGTTTGTTTTTATACTTAAGACTGTATAAATAGTTAATAAAAGGAATCATTTTAGATTTTAAAAATTTTAGATTTGATTTAAAAATAGGGCTTTTATAACCTTTTGAAAATGGATTCCTGGAATTTAAAAAATCAAATAACTGATCTAATGTTTGACAAAAAACAATAGTTTCATCACTATCCTTAAACTGTTTATAATTGTTATCTTTTAAGTATTGAATTGCTTTAGCTGTTGATGAGCTTAGAAGTTGGACTGCCAATTTTACTTTCATTTTGTTACTTTTCCAATTCAAATGTACACCAGTTATTTTATTTGCAAATTTTAAAGATAAATTTGATTGAATCTCGTGTAAATATTCAAAATAACACCATTTAATATGACCAGTATTAGATTCTATAACTAAACAATTTCCTAACGTATTCCGTGCCAACTTAATCATATGGCATGCATCTGGTATAAAAAAAATTTGTGATCCATCGATAGGATGACTAAACCAAGATTTGATATTATCAAATCCTTCACCAAATTCACATCCCAAAATTTTCAATGTCGAAAAATTTGTAAATGCCCCATCACAGGTGATACCTCTTACATTTAGTCCTGATTGGTGAGACAGTGTAAGTGCTGTTTTAATTAATTCTGCTTGTCGCACAGCATTAGTTTTATTTTGTAAGAAATATCCGATTGGTAGTTTCCACTTACCATTTAAACTTACGAGCATAAAAACTAATGCCTCAGTGGCTGCTGTTTCACTACTTTCAACTGTAAGATTATCACCATAATCACAGTATCCTGTAAATTTATGTGCTTGTTTGTCCCAGATGACTTGCTTTTTTATGCACATTGCATCGAAAACAAGATTACATTCTTTATTTTCTATTTCTAGAGTTTTTAAAAAAAGAAAAACTTCAGAGAAAAAACCGGGTTCCCCTTTTACAGATGAAGTCCAAGATCTTATTGCTGTAGGATGAGGAAGTTTAAATATTGTGCTAGAAAAAAAAATTGTGTTCAAAATAATATATTATTTAATAAAGAGAATTTCTGAAATGCATACTAACCGACAGTACTTGTAAGCTTTTGGAGAGTAATAATTCAAAGTAAGTGCAAATTTTTTAAGCTCATCGCTGTATCTTCGACCTTTAGCATTTTTATTTTTGTTTTTCAACTGATTATTGAAGATTTCCCTAGATATGCCATCAAAGTCTTCTAATATGACATTAAAACCATTTTCTTCAATTAAACCTTTCTCTTTTATGTCTTGTAAAAGTTCTTTTAAGTTATTAATTTTTTTTTTAAGTCTAAGTACTCTTTTTTGTAATGTTTTAAGCTTTGTTTTGTTTTTTTTGGTTTTTGGAGTGACAATTGAGTTTTGGGGTCTACCTCTTTTTGGTGTTCTACATGATGGTCTTTTAGGTGTAATTTGAAGTTCTGGAAATAATACTGTTGTTTTTTTTCTAGGTGTAGTTATAATATCACTGACCAATACAGATCTCTGAAGTGTGACTGGAAGTTCTTCATCTAACTTAGACATACTCAAATCAAGAGGAACTTCTACTTCAACTTCATAATTTTCTATTATACTCTGGCAATGAACTTCTTCAGTTGTTGAATTAAATACTGATGGTATTGCATTATCATTCAAACGTAAACGACCATTTTCCTTATTATAAGGTTTAAAATCACTAGGGAGAAAATGCTCACTACACAACCTACTATACTCAGTTGGAATAAACCCTTTCCTATTAATATTTTTTAACCAATTTTCAGTACGTTCTTTATTTTTTAAAGGAAAGCTGAAAATTTTGGAAATAATTAGTTTGTAAGTTTCATTGATGTCAGTTTTTTTTAAATATACTTACGCAAAAAAATGAATGCCACTGTTAGGCACTCTTTTATTTGAACAGCCCCAAGCACAGCAATAATAAACCATAGTAATATGTATGTACTTAAAAAATATTAATAACAACTGTACTTACTGTAAGTCTTGTACATGTATCACAATTTATATTTATAAAATAAAAAACAGTATGCTAAATATGTAATATTTGCTCGTATATAATTACAAAATAATAACATAATACATGTATTTTATTATTATTATTATTATTATAGATTCATCAAGTTGTTTTTGCGTTTGAGATGCTAAATATTTATAAATAGCTCGCGATTACCATATTGTTCTATGTAATTACATGCAAATACAATAAAACATAATATTTAAATTTAAATTATTTTTATAAATAATAAAAGGTTCCGAATTTTAGCTCTAACCAAATAGTTCCAGATAAATATAATTCGGAAAAAAAATTTTCTTAAGGCTTACGTCTCAACAAAATTTAAAATATTATACCCCTCCAAAATAGTATCTTATCACTTATCATATCAGTTAAATTTGTAAACAGTCACCTCTTAGATAACGATTGGCGGCCATTTTGTTGGAGACATTATTTTATACGTATGTACTATAGAAGTCGGCTATCTAGTATTTTTATATATCTGTGTTATCACCCAATTTTTATGTTATGAATATTGAATAATTTATTCTGTATCATAATTTGTGACGTACCTGGTACCAATTTAAAAAAGGCCTAGTTCCTATTAATTGAATAGAATATGTTTTCTTTTATTTATATGTATTAAACTATCATTAATATTTGTATACAAAATTGTCATGGTGGCATTTTGGGCATTGGCATACATATTATTCTTTTCGCCCGTTACAGAAACCGTTGATAAGAAAATTATGGAAATCAGCTGGTAAACAAATAACAGGTATATACATAAAAAAAAAAGTAAAAAAAAAAAATAGGTACAACTACTACAACATATTTTCGAGATGCCTTCGGGACGTGAATGTTGATGACGATGATGTGAGGCGTGTGCGTGTGAATGCGTCGTTTGTGCGTGTGTTGTCGTGCTCCGCCGTCGGTCAATAGAATTATAGTTATAGGGCAGAGTTAATAACCGCAATTACACATTAACATTAACAATAATAATAACAATATCGATTAAACGATATTCGTATGCAGTAGATACGACGACGGTTTCCCAGTAATACCGATCAATCCGATAACCGATTTTCAAAAAGGGGTTTGCTGTATCGATTTTTGTTTTGTCCGTCCGTCGCGTGGGCATTCAGATCACCGGATATCGCTGAGCACGGGAAACGGACCAGTTTTTGCGTGAGCGAGAGAAACGGACCAGCCAGTCTCCACTCGCCGCCGTGTCCAGTTTTGCTGCCGTCGCTGTCCGACCGTTTGCCGCCTACACTCGACGACTACGACGACGACCACGGCAGTCGTACGACGACACCACTGTCATAACCGTCCGAATGGTGGCCAGCCGCCGTCCAAATGCAGTTGACGTCCAACTCGGCGGCCGCCGACAACTATGCGATCCCGTGACGGGCAACGTAACATTTTGATTCAGGTACAAACAAATCTACTTATCCGCCGACGTCGCCCGCACTGCTTAAACATTTGTTGTTTACCCGTCCTTGTCCGATCCTATCTCGTGCTGTTGTCCGCTGAGTTAACTCGCAAAGCGTAGGTATGTCTCGATCGTTTCAACGCTACCTACCTGTTTTCCATGTTAAATAATATTGACTACACTCACCTATTCTATTACATGTTCCAAGTGTAGTACAACGTTTGAAATTAAATTATTTACAAAGGTATAGATAAATTTTGAATTGGGATAAAACAGAATTGTCGATATTTAAAATTTAAATTAAACAGCAACAAGTGTTGCAATACTTTTAAATATTGTCAATTTTCTTTATTATAAAAGTAGGCATGTCATGACTATTATTTTAATTTGGTTAGTTTTCAAATTACCTTTAACCCTACTAAAAATATGTTACCCATATAATTTTAAATAAACGTGTAGGCGTACCTAATGATATTCTTTTTAAAATAAGATATAACTATTTGGGTAATTGATGTGTGGGAGTAAGTAGACTAGTAGCCTGTAGGTAAAATCCATATTGATGTATTAAAATTGTTTATCTGTCAAATTTCTAATAGAATGTACCTATATCTTTATTTTAATTGATATTGTGGAAGTTGTACCTGCCCAAAAATAGTTTTTATCAGTAGATTTTAGTAGCCAAATTTCATATAGGCACTTTAATTTATAATGATATTGCTTATTGGTACTAATTTTAGGCTGACAGGAACCTATGAATTGAATTATTAATATATACCCTCATATCTACCTGATTACTTGTTAAAACTGTTAAAAGATGTACCTACTTATTAATTATTATTTTTAAATAATCATCTCAGATAATTAGAAAACTTTTCGATTAAATATAGTGCGATTTACCAAGCATGCTCGCCATCATTTTTCTTTTAAAAACGGATATGAATTTATTAAAATTCTGACTTTTGGAAAGGAGTTTTCTATGAAAATCTTTTTTCACTGAAATTATCAGGAACAATGAACATTTTCAACACAAATTGTTCAAGTTTTTTCAATTTTTTTTGTGCAAGAGTTAGGTACTTATATGAATACCAGTAGAAGCAGATGTAAGCTGTACTCACGTTTCCAACTTTGGTGTACGTAATAAAGCTATACCTATGCTCAAAGATCATATTTTTACATTCTTAAATTTTTTGAGTACAACTTAAAAAGTGTCACAAATTTCTGTTAACCATTTGAGAAGCCCACTTTTTTACTGTACATTTTTAGTGAATAATTTTTTTAAAAATGTTGATACCTTCCTAATTCAAAATTTGAATGATAAGTTTTTCAGTTATTTAAATGTTTTTACTGAGGATAATAGTCCTTAAATATGGTTTTACAAAAAATTTAAATAGATGTAATAGATATTGGAAATAGTATTTATTCTGCCATGCTAAGAGAATAAGCCAAGGAATAAGAAATTCAAATTTTAGTCAAATCGAGATATTGGTACATATGGGTTAATAATGCCATTTTGTACAATTTTTTGCAATGAAAAAGCAAAATATTTAACATTGAAAATTGGTAATTGGAATTAAGAAATTAAACACTAAGTCCATATTTTTTGTGAAACTAGAAGCAAAAGTATAATAAAATCGCTAAAAGAACCAAATCAGCAGTATGTGAAATTAAGTTTTGTTATTTTGCTTATTTTTAAGCTAATTAGTAACAAGTCACTAATTAATCACTAAAATTGTCAAATCACCATAGCCACCCATATCTCCCAAACCTTCTATAACCTATAATATTTAGTATGTACTCAAAATTAAATAACTCAAACAGTCAAACACTACTCATTTAAATTTTGATTTTGATGCATCAACATCTCCTAAAAAGTTTTCTAAATTATTTACTGTGGAAAATGAGGGTTCTCCTTTTAAAAACAAAAGATTATATCTTCACAAGACAATCCTGATTCCTTAAGTAATATAAAAGATCTCAAGAATTTAAAATATGGTCTTTAAGTGTTTATATTTAAAAATTCCAAAAATCAAATTTTTAATAACACGCCTACATAATTAAAGAAATGAAGATGATCATGACTTGTGAATCACTCTTTATAAGGTGTTTAAGATCTTATTTATTTATCTTGTATATTATGTGAACTTTAACTATGAATGTGTCATTTTGGTTTACCAATTCAACACCTACTTTTTTTCAAAAAATATATATTAGTTAATGATTATTTGGAAACATTGACTAGTTTTACGAGCTGATCTTCAAAATTAGTAGCTACCTTTATTCTAAATTTATTTATTTAGTTATCTAGATACTGGTATGTTTGAAATAATCCTAGTTTGAGTAGATAGTATCAATATTAGAATTTTATTGCATAGTCTTATGTATTAAGTATTGTTTAGGCAGGCATTAAAATATATTTAAATTTCATTAAATCTCCTATTTTAAAGTGTATACTAAATGTATTTATTTTTTCAGGGTGTTATGCGTTTGAGCATAAAACAATGGGGGCCAACATGGGTAAGAGTTCAGCATCTTTGCTGGATGCACTCCCTACACCACAAAGTCATTTGCATGTAGTCATGTTGGGCCTAGACAGTGCTGGTAAGACTACAGCCCTTTACAGACTTAAATTCAACCAGTACCTGAATACAGTTCCTACAATTGGATTTAACTGTGAAAAAGTAAAAGGAACTGTCGGTAGGGCCCGAGGTCAAACATTTCTTGTGTGGGATGTTGGTGGACAAGAAAAACTTCGACCGTTATGGAAAAGTTATACTAGGTAAATTTTAACTTTAATTTGATTTCTTTGATTCAAAGTTGATTAGCTTCTTTATTTACCTTCATAAAATTATTTTCAGGTGTACTGATGGTATATTATTCGTTGTGGACAGTGTAGATGTAGAACGGATGGAAGAAGCAAAAATGGAACTAGCCCGCACAGCAAGAGCACCAGAAAATACAGGTGTACCAATTTTAGTGTTAGCAAATAAACAAGATTTGCCAGCAGCACGAGATTCAGCAGAATTAGAAAGACTTTTAGGTCTAAATGAACTTAACCATTTGTGGCATATTCAAGCTGCTTGTGCTATAACTGGCGATGGTCTTCAAGAAGGTTTGGATGCACTTTATGATATGATATTAAAACGCAGAAAATTAGCTAAACAAGTGAAAAAGAAAACTCGATAAATTAGCTAAATACCAGTATAACTATATTTGTATATAAAAGTAATGCGCTATTGGGATAATGAATACATACATTTATCTTTGCGCCATAATTTGAAATTTCCATGACACGTGTTTAACAATAAACCACTCATATTGAATTTTGGTTTTGATATCGACGATATTAAGTGCTATTATTATTACTGGGTACATTTATTTAATTATTTAAACTATTTGTTTTGTTTAGATGGCATAACAATAGACAATAGTATACTTGATGGATATTTTATTTAAATGTATTGTAACTTACTAGTAGTAATAATAATCTAATATTGTGTTATTTCATTGATTCCCAGTAACTACTTACATTTATAGAACAGTGTTTAATACACAACATTTATTTGTGTGTTTAACTATGTTAATGTAATTTTAAAAGACCATTTAAAATCATGTATTACGTTTTAAAAATGTTCCCACCGATTGTAAGTATGATTTTTATATGATACAAATGGTAGCTTTTTGAATATGGCAGCTAACAAATTGGATGTTTGACATTTATTATTTTCACTTAAACGTTATATGATTCACTTTAAAGAGCAACTAGTTTGTTATTAAATGTATTTGTTGTCACTCTATGGTGCTTTATTGTTTTTGAAATTATATTGTATTATTATTTTCTTTAGTGCAATATTTCACTTGTTTAAAATTACTGCTGCACTAAAAAAATGTATTCAATGGAAGGTTCAACAGTTTATGTTTTTGACTAAACCCTTTTATAATTTAAATGTAAAATATTTATTATTATTTATATATTATATGTATCAATTACAATTAATATGCAATTTAGTTCCAATAACTGATAACTTACATAATGAATTATTATTTAGTTTAATAATTCTGATCAATTGGTCTTATGTACAGTTTCAAGTTGCGCTCACATTTATTTTATTTATCAACACTAGAACAGTTTTTTTTTTCTAATACTCGATGCTAGCCAAATTATTATTTGTTTCTGTAATGGGTCTTCTACACCCTATCAGGTTACCATAATATGATATGATTATCTTCATTATATTTTCTTTTATCACATGCTCTTAGGTCAGGAAAAACTGTTCTAATGTTAATTATGCCCAAATTAACAGTATGTTAACAATAAACTTATACTACTTATAAAAGTGTTTAATTAGAAAGTAAATAATTTATTACTATGTAGTTAGAGTGAATTGGGTAGTTAATTAAATATTTTAGTTTTCAATTAACCTGACGTCATCAATTTTATCTGAATATGGGTCAAACACATTAATCCACCAAACTTTGAATCTTTCTGAATATGTATTTGTATATTGTATTCTATATTTATTATTGTTTTAGCATAAGTTTTAATGTAACCTTTTTTTTAATGCTTTGTTATTATGTTTTTTACACACATTTACATTTTTTTTTAGCAAACTACTTAAAAATAGATAAATTATTTTCATTTATAATTGTATTATCATATGAATAAGAAGAATTATCACATTTTTTTATGCTCTAATATTTTTCTTGTTGACCTATTCTGTTGTAATGACTATATTTTCAATCCTTTTGAGTTTTTGTTTATGTGTAAATTTGTTTATATAACTTAACAACGAGACTGTTTATGTGTTTTGTTATGTTGATTAACTTTTTATGTTTACATCAATTAAATGATCAAGTGTATAAATCTAATAATTGTCATTAATTAGCAATTATTGTAAGTATTTATCATTAACATTAAGAAACAATCATTTTTAAGATTTTTTTTATTTATATATAATATAATGATTTTAGAAAATTGTTTAGCAGAAATTAATGTCTTATTGTCTTGGCCTAAAATATAAATTAAATGAAAATTGTGAATCGTTCATATTATATATCATTAAATGTGAATTTATTATTTTTTTTACTCCCTAAAAAAATATTTTTAGTTTTGTTTAAAGTTAATAATAGTATTGTAATACATATTATTTCATTTGTCTATTAAAATTTGGTTTTTATGTTTTTTCTAAATTTATTGTTTCTGTTAGAGAATAATAAATCACCAAATTATATAAAAATCCAACAAGTGTTCCTATATTCTTCAAGCTGGAGATTGGTGTTCCCAGAACTGATGCAACTTTTCTACTTTATAACTCTTAAAAATATCTATATACAACATCAAGGCTCGCTTCACACATTTTAAAACATATTTAAATTAGTCTATTCCTACTTATGGTCTACAACTTACTTTAATGAACAATGAGTTATCTAATCATTTAAATATTTTAGACAATAGAAGCAAAACATGTTTTTCTAAAGGTCTGTAGTTATGCCTTTGAATATATTGTATATGTACTAGATACTTACATACGATTTAATTAAAAGCTTAAATGTGTGGATGTGATTTATTACTATTTTACTAAAGCCTATTACACTATACCTATCTATATATGGAAAATGAGATTCTGTTCTTTGGTAACCGGATCACTTGAGAACAGCTGTTCTGATTTGGCTCGTTTTATTTTTAATGCCACTTGTCCAAATGAGGTTTCAGCGGAAACAAAATTGGAAGTCTCAGAGAAAATATAGAAAAAAATAGTTATTTTTTCCATTCGTACACATTTTAGATTCTGGGCGGATAAACAAATGTACTATTGATTTTACTATAATTATGTGTTGTATTTTGTGTCTGTGTACACCACGGTAAATAGTGGAAACAATGCTTCTATTTTCAACTTTTCAACTACTTTCATCGTATCTTTTCTCCGGTGGGAAAGTGCAAATAGTTGGTGCATTCGAGAGGCCAACATTTAAAATTCTCAGTAGTTTCCAAAAGCACTAGGAAAAAAAGGAAAAACTGGAATTCAAAATTGGTTTTCAACAAAATCGATTTTGGTTTTTGGCGAAACTCTTAAAAATATGACAGTAGATATATGACATTTTCACTGAATTTTTATATCTATTAGCATTTTCAAAATATTTTGACTCTTGTTGAACTATTTATAGGCATGTGACATTTTCGCTTAATTAATGCGAATAAAAAATGTTTCCGATCGTTCATAAAATTTGGTAGGTAATCTGCGAAAATTCAATTTAATGCATGCTTATACCAGATCCGACCGATTAACCCCTGAAAACCAATAAACAAAAAAAAATACCAATTTCTATTAAATATACAGTCAAAACTCTTTATAACGAATCTGAAGGGACCAAGAGATTTCTTTCGTTATAGAGAGTTTTCGTAATAGAGAGGGTTTAAAAAAAACAAAATTTTAATTATTTATGTATAAAGGTATGTATGTATGTAATATTATATATCAAACACATCATTATTTTTACAAATAATGAAAGAATGTAATCGTTCTTGGAAATGTCGGCATTATTGCCGATTATTTTTATAGTTTATATATTATGTAATAGATACGATAACACGTAAATTGTATTATGAAACATAAAATATTGTTTCGTTATTGAGAGTGACTGATACGTTATAGAGAATGAATTGTCTAATTGGTTATATAGCAAACCAACCATTAATATGTAATGTTTACGTTATATAGAGTTTTTCGTTGTAAAGAGTTTCGTTATAAAGAGTTTTCACTGTATTTATATTTCTCCTATAACCAATAACAACCATTTATAAACAAAAATTGTCTTCGTAGATCTCAAAAAGTTAGGTTAATTAGTGGCGTGGGGTGGTAGGGAGGTAAAAAATACTTTACAATCCTATTCTCGATTCTCAGAACTACTAAATATAAATGAAAAATTTCTTAAAAATTGGTGACAACATTTCCGTGACACGATATTTTTATATATTAGAGACTATAATTAGTAGAAATATGGCATTAACATTATTTTACAAATATAGGTATTTATAAAAAAAAAAACACATCTTTGGCACTGGGCAACGTCGTCCGAGACAGCTATAGTTTATAATATTATAAAAATGAAATACTACAGTACATTGGTAAGTGGTAACAACTAACGCTTGAGAATGGTAGGTCCGATTTAGCTCATCAAAAAATGTTGGCGATAGTCCGAATGAGGTTTGTAAGAGTTGAAAAATTGTTGTTTATAAATGGTTGCCATTGGTTACAATGTAACCGTTACATTATAATATCATACAGGGTAAATGCGGGAAAACCACGCGTCAAGTCGTCAAGTTTATGAATTTTTTTTTTAAGCTACCTCATTGCTTTTTTCCACACCTCCGTCCTTTGTGACAAGTGTATTTTAGGAGGGTTTATTAAAAAAATTATTTTACAAAATGTATGTGAAAGAAAGTTTAATGGAAATTCTTTAGTGGGACACCCTCATTCAAAATTCCTGGCTATGCAACTAACTTACTTAATGATATTAACTTAGACGTGAGAGTTCACCAAGATATGTATCATTTTTTTTGTAAATAGAAATAAAATGCGAACTATAAAGGAGTTGGCCAGTAGTTTATTTCCCTTTTTTTTTTAATCTTTAACATAATATAAATCGAAATCCGTGTTGAAATTGACACCCATAATGGTTTTTAAAAACTATTGAAGTACAACTGCCTTATTAGTGCTCTAATTATACTTTTATTTATTACTAGCTGACCTGGCAATTGGTCGCTATTGCAAGATTTCTCAGATATTAATTTGCAATTTATTTTCTGGATGTTAAATAATTATTTTTATTTTAGACCACTTTTAGTCACATCTCCGCGGTAATGTAGCCATATACCTTATTTAGCGTCGTCACCGAGGATTCTTCATAATGTTGAAAAAAAAAATTATATCGCTTGTGTCAATAGAAAAATTGATGCTTATGGCAACTTTTTTTTATTTAATAGATTTAATGTATACGAAGCCCTAAAATTAGAGTTCGTTTATGTAAATTTTGTAGGTATGGATGGAACAAAAGATATGAATTACGCCAGTATTTTTATAATTCAGACTTAAAAAATTTCTCTGTAAATGACGTTATCAACTTTTTCTGGATCGGGGGTAAAAATATACAAATTAAATTTGAATGTCACAAATGTGACGGGGTCGACGTATTGTTGACCGTGAGAAAAACATTGATAGGATATTATGTTATATTATAACATTGGTAGGATATTATATTAAATTATTGTATACTATTATTATAATAGTATCGTACCCCACGCTAGGTAAATACTCTATATGAATAATATTTTTTAATTTGGCTGTGGATTCACCAATGAGCGGCTATAAGTGCAATTCAACCACCTTAGCAAGCAATTTGTGAAAATTCAATTAGTTATTAGTTATTTTTTACCAATAACCAAAACTAATGTAACACCATTCATCATAAATACTAATAATAGATATTCAGATAAAATTAATTGTTTTTTTTTTTGCTAAACTAAATAGGCACTTATAATAATTGTTTATTATTCCACTTCGATACCGACCAGCCTAGAAGCACCTGTGGTTGTCGAGTTCATTTATTTTCAGCCAGCGACTATTACTTACAAAAAAAGGTATAGGTACAGTCTACACATTTATTTTCATTAAAACTGAATATTAATATGAACTAGGTAGGTATTCTGAACGGAAACATTGTGTCATCCCACTATACTTCAATACTTATACAATCAGATTTAAAAGTTTGAAAAAATTAATAAAAATAGAAAATATCTAATGGTTATAAATAGCATAAACCGGTATATACCGGTAAACTTTTTTTTTTTATTGAGGTAGAAAAACTTCTTGGGAATCTTCTAGGGTGATGTTAAAAATCTTTTAATATTAGCTATGAAAAGAAAAACTTTTATACATTTCTAACTGAAAAATAATTTACAAAATTTGAAAAACTTCTCATGGCTACAAATAGGTCAGAACAAAATAGTTGAAAATGTTGCCTTTTATGTTAAATGGTAATTTTAACATTTGGACAAAAATTCTAGCGTCTATGGTTATTCATTTTTTAGTTACAACAAAATATGAAAAATTTACCGGTGAAAATCTAACATCGTACATTTTTTAAACTCAAACGCCCATAAAAAAATTGTGATGGATCTTCCATTAATATTTTTAATGTTAGCTAGGGAAAGACAATTTTTTACTTATTTCTAACTGAAAAACAATTTGAAAATTTCCAAGATTTTGGTAAATTTTGTCATATCTTATAC